TGGGGTTTTTTTTCCCTTCCATTTTTTTCCCTTGTCACCAGTATCGTGACCTCACTTTCTTGCTCCGTAGGTGAACTCAGTCAATTGTAACACCAGCTGGAAAATCAACCTTTTCATGCAGTTCTGCGACCACATGGAGGAAGTGCTGAAAGGGGTGAGGAAGGACGTTCGGCCGCCGGGGATGCAGTGGGCTCTGGGGACCTGGCCCTGGTGCCCTGCAAGGGCAGGACGTGTGAACAGCCGTTTGGCTGCGTGACAAAGACTTTAATTTCTAGGAGAATTCGTCACTTGGAGAACTTAACAGCAAGCTAGAGTTGGGTATTTTAGTATCTGCTGGCAGCAGGTACCCAGGGGGGCATGAAATTACCCTCTGCCTTATTGTATTAAATTAGCTGTCGAGGACAATACGAGGCACACATAGTGCCAGCAGTGGCTTCTAGCTGTGAGGACAATTTTCGGCTGTTTAGTTATGCAGCAAGGCTGGTTGTTGCCTGGGAAAGGAACTTTCCCTGCGGAGCTATTGTTTGGGGCTGAGGTCCTCCAGGAAGCAGCTGGATGGGTATTGATTGTTGTGATCTTCAGACCCTCATCCCCCCCTGGCGCCACGCTTATCCCCAGCTTCCCGCATCCTCCTCCCCAGAGCGTTAATGCCTTAAACACATTGGTGAGCGGAGCTTCTGCCCACCCTAGAGGTGTAAAATGGTGGATTTGCACCTGGGGAGGGGAAGGAAAGAGAAGGGACTTGCAGGATTGAACGGAGTTACGGCATTGCGGAGAGCAGGTCGACCCGAGCTCGTGCAAAGTGCCCTCACCTGGGCTGAGAGGAGCATTTGTGCTGCCCCAGGCAGGTTTTAGCACAGCTCAGGTAGGTAGGACTGGAGGAGCTGATGGTGCCCTGCAATGTCCAGGCTCCTGTGGTGCCATGGCTGAGAGCTGTGCTCTGCTCCGGACCGTGCACAGAGGGATCCCATCCCTTTTGCATGGTGGAGTTGATACGTCAGCTTGTAGGAGAGCCGCGTCCCTGCGTCTCACCTCCCTGTCTTGGTCTAGGGGGACGTGGTGAGGCTCTTCCACGCCGAGCAGGAGAAGTTTCTCACCTGCGACGAGTACAAAGGCAAGCTGCACGTCTTCCTCCGCACCACCCTGCGGCAGTCGGCCACCTCGGCCACCAGCTCCAACGCCCTGTGGGAGGTGGAGGTGAGCAGGGAGGGGATGGAGCACATGTCTGTGGGTTTTTGGGTACCTCTGTGGGTTGCTGTGCTTTGACAACGGGGGTGCATGTGTTAGAAGCAGTGATTATTTCTATACATTTCCACCCTGGTGAAAGCCAACACAAGGCTTGAGCTCCGTGAGAGCACTGCTGATGGATGGGCACCAGCGGTTTGCCTGAGCTGTGTGTCCTGAGTGTATTTGCTCGTGGTCGCCTTTCAGATGGGACAGAGCTCTTACCACCAACGAGTTTGCTGGGGCTCAGCGGAGGCTCTGAGGCACGAATGGTGTCCCTGTTGGTGCCACTGCCTGAGCTCTCCTCTGCTTCTCCCAGGTTGTCCACCACGACCCGTGCCGGGGGGGAGCCGGGCACTGGAACGGCTTGGACGGCTTCAAGCACCTCGCTACGGGCAACTACCTGGCAGCAGAGGTAAGGGGGCAAGCAGAGGGATGCAGAGACCTGACCTGCCCTCGAGAGGCTGGTGCCATCCCTTGCAAAGGCAATTCCCACCCACCCATAGGCACCAGACAGATGCTCAGGATCGCCTCTGGCCCTGCTCCTGGTTTGTTTTCCGAGCTCTCCTGCCCTGGGCCTCTGCAGCTCCTCCTTGCTTGCAGGAGGTGTTGGCCCTGGGCTGTAAGAATCACCCTTGCTTGCCCGTTTGCAGGGCCAGGCTTTCCCCTCTGAAATCCCTCACCCCACGGTGCAGGGGATCATTTGCCAAAATTGCTGTTTCCTGCTCCAGGGCAGGAGGGAGTGTCCGGGGTTTTCCTCTGTTTGCTGATCCCTAGGCACAACCTCCTGGTGAAATGGAAGTGGGAGGTTAATTCATCCTGCTGTGTTTAACTCTTTCTGATCAGGTTTTGCCCATCCTCATCCTCTGGCCACAGCAGCATCCAGGGCTGTCCTTGCCTGGGGAGGGTGTGGGCAAAGTCTGGGACTGCAAGCATCACTTGCCAAATACTTTTGCTCCCATTTAAGGCTAGCTAAAGGTACAAAGACATTTCCATGCTTAGATAATGTGGTTTATGTGACCCAAATGAGCTGCCTGGACCAAGGGAAAGACAGTGTTACACCGTGCTGCCAGGAGAGCAAGGATGTACAGGGGGGAACAGCTGGAGAAGACAACCAAAAGCAGCCCCCAGTGCCCCTTCCACAACTGGCAGATGGAAAATCGCAAATACTGGGGCTTTGAAATGGCTCTTTGAAACCAAAAGACGCTCAGATGGCATCTTCAGCACCGATTGATCCCCAGCCTGGGTTGGTGCTGCCTGGGTTGCGTTGCTCACTGAGACCTCAGCTTGGAGCTGAGGGATTTACAGCGAGAGCTCGTCTTCCTGCAGCACAAAGCCCCGGGTCTGCTCCCTGCGACTCACCCCGTCCTGCTCCTCAGGGCTGGAGCACTCACATCCTCCAGCCCCATCTGGGCAGGTTTCCTCTGATTGAGAAAGGCAGGAGTAGAGATAACACCCTAGTGCTCAGGGTTTTGGAGGGACCGAGTGGGAGGACTGATAGCTGTCTTTCATCTCCCTCTTTAACTTTTCAGGAAAACCCAAGTTATAAAGGAGACGTGGCTGAGCCCAAAGCAGCGCCCACGGTGAGCTGTCTGCAGCCTCGCTAGCAGAAACGCTGCTGCCGCTGCCTGAAATCACGCCGTCTCTTAGAAATTGCCTGAAAGCAGGGAAATGCCCCAAAATAGAGCCTGCCACGGGGATGGCGCCCGTGCCGGGTGCCGAGGCTGCCCAGCGAAGCGTCCCCGCGCCCCGCACTGTAGAGTAGCATCCCTGTGATCCCGCTTGCGAGAGGACCCTGCCGAAATCTGCTGGCGGGGTCCCGGTGCATGTTGGCTCCCCGAGGCCACGGGGAAGTGCTGGTAGAAGAGAGATTTGAACTTTCAGGGGGGTTTTCTCCTCTCTGCTGTCAATGAGGTTTGGAGAAGGGTGGAGAAGGGTGCAGCACGCTGCGCTTGTGCTCTTGCAGCCCCTCATGTGTCTCCGTGCTGCGAGGCTCAGCCGAAATCTGCTGGCGGGGTCCCGGTGCATGTTGGCTCCCCGAGGCCACGGGGAAGTGCTGGTAGAAGAGAGATTTGAACTTTCAGGGGGGTTTTCTCCTCTCTGCTGTCAATGAGGTTTGGAGAAGGGTGGAGAAGGGTGCAGCACGCTGCGCTTGTGCTCTTGCAGCCCCTCATGTGTCTCCGTGCTGCGAGGCTCAGCCTGGCGGCCAAGAGAAAGCTTCTGCTCCGAGTGTAGCCGCGGTGCGTCTCCTCCGATGCCGTCTGCACAAGGAGGCTGGGCTCGGGGGGCAGCTGCCCCGCGCCGGGCTCAAAGCCGCTTTCCCCGGTGCAGGGGGGCCTCC